ATGCGCCGCCACGTGGCGCCGCCAGAATCTTCAAGCCCCCTCCCCTGCGGCCGCCACGTGTCCGCGAATGCATGCGTCCGTGCGGACACGTCCGCGGGCTTCTCGGCCTGGCCGCGGCCGCGGACTTGGCCGCGCCTGTCCACCGCGGGGGGGGATTCGCTGTTGTCCATCACATGAGAGAGAGCCCTTGCCCCCTCCGACTCTATCTTACTTTCCCTGACTTCCCCCTCAGGTATCCTTCCCCCCGATTCACATGATCTCTCCCCCCCCCCAATCCGCCGGCTTTGAACAGACGTACACACACACACACACACACACACACACACACACACACACACACACTCACACTCACACACACACATTCATAGTGTGCAAGTCCACAATCAACGTGGCGAGCCTGGTGCATGAGAGGCACGGTAAATAAAAGGGGTACCTTGAAGAAAGCGAACGTGACCTCATTGAAGACAGGGAGGGGTTCACATGCTTCTATTGTACTTCATGTTGCTTTGCTTGCTGTTTGTCAGATGAAAACTGTTTCATTGCTGGCTGGGTCGTCTGAACTCGAAGGGCTTCCGTTGTCTGTAATAGGGGACTAAATTGAATATGCTTTGACTTTGGATCTGCGCGTCTGGGTGGAATAGGGGCTGTTGTGGTGAAAATTCAAAACACACACACACACACACACACACACGCACACACGCACACACACACACACACACGCACGCACGCACACACACACACACACAATCAGTTTTATGTGTCTTTTCCTCATGTGTTTTGTCTGTCCATTTTCCCCGACTTTCTTTTTTTTCTAAGTGCTTTCTGTGTGCTTGCGTGAGTACCTTTAAGAAGTGCTAAACGGTCGGTGTTGGGGTGTTTGGTGTGCCTGTAACACTATTATATGGGCTGTTCTGTTCCTGGACGTCCGTCGGAGTGACTCCCTGGTGGTGGGAACCAATAATCTGCTGGGTTCACTTGTGATGTGAGTGGGTGATGTGCCACTCTCTAAGGCAAGAAAACACGTATGGGCAAAAAAGAACAGCCACCCAGTCCCCCTTCAGCAGCGTAGGCCCTTTACGCAGGATAGAGACTATTAGAGAGCCATCCCACTGGGAAGGCCTCCATAAGCTCTTCTAACGCTGCGTCAATATTGTGACCGTATCGCAATCTCTCTCTAATGTGCTCCAGCCGCTTCCTGTACTTCCGGTTACCATCCCATAACTCTCACACACGTGCAACCGCATTTTTTACCCAACCCTTCCATTGAGCGTCCATGTTGCAGTCTACGAATCCCCTTGGACGGTGACTGTGCCGGACGTGACCGCGGTCTCCGGTCACGGCCGGAGGGTCGCGGTCACGACGTGGGGTCCCGGTCGTATAAAAAAGAAAAAGCAAAACAAAAGGTTTTCAAAAAAATCTGAAAACAAAAAATGTTATGCAGAAAAATAAACTGAAACTTTTTGCCTCAGGGGCCTGGAGGGAGATCCCACTGCCCATGTATTTGGATTAGTGTGACGGGTGCGGGATGGGTGGGAGACAGGTGGGTGGCAGCGTGAAACAGGGACAATGAAACCAAAAAACCATTTCATGACAAAAGAAATGAAGAGAAAAATGATAAAAACGAAACGAAAGCGCTCTTCCCATCATCGTGTCTGCTCCAGGCGGGGTGTCAGATGTCAGGGTATGATTCACTGACCATGACTGTGTCAGTCAAAAAGACTGCATGCGAGTGAGCAAACTGACCAAATTCATCGACAATAGTCTGAGGCTTCCTTGAAATGGGCCGCAGTGCATGCTCCTCCTTCCCTCTGACAGAAATTCACTTGAGGCAAAGCACGGCAAGAGCAACTCCATGCAGCATGTGCCGTAGGTGAGGGGATCGAACCCCCCGAACATCTCACAAGCCACAATCACTTCGGCATGTCTTCCAAGCACGGGCAATTACCCAAAGGTGAGTAGGTGTGTGAAAATCATCACGACAGAAATCATTATGATTTTCACTCACGTTCAGGACCCCAAGAGGAACACCTATTCAAAAAGAAATGAAATGCCACCCATTGCAATGGGAGCCCCCAAAAACACACATATGTCCCCACACGTAAATACAAAATAAAACACACCGCTGATATCCTGTCCGATCCAGGGTGCTTCTGAGTCACACAACCTCTCCACTACTCCACATACATTGGTAGTGGGATCTCCCTCCTGGACTCGCTAGGAAGTATTCTACAATGTGTGACGCAATTTTTGGGCTTTTTGGAAAAGACAAAGTGATTTTTTATTTTCATGAATGGATCATTTTCTGATTTAAAATGAATTGAAATGGCGCATAAAACAAAGAAGCACAGCTGTGCACCCAAAGTCATGGGCTGGTACGATCTCCTTCACGTAAGTCTTCATAGTGATGTACCGTGGCAGTTATGTACCGTGGCAAGAAAATGTGTGGATGAACACAGCCACAAGGATGGACAAGTAACGGGTATGGGGATACATTCATCACCATGTATCTCATGAGGCCTCTAACAGGCCATCCAACAGATGCGGAGGCATTCCTGTCAGATCCACCACAATATATGAATTTCACATTTCAAGTTCGATTTCTCAGAGCCAAAAACACACGCAATGCCACGAGCTATCATGTCCAAGTTTGTTTTTTCTATTTTTTCCGACGCATCATGTCCAAGTTTGTTTTTCTATTTTTTCCGACGCATCTCATTGGACGATATCTGATGCATCTTTACAGTCCCCGCTCGGAAACTACCAGGCTGTCGAGATCCGATGCATTCGACGGCCGTACTGCGTCACTCGAGGCCACACATGATCGAAATCCTGAACGGAGTGGTAGAATACTTCGCTAATGGGTCCAGTCCCCAGGGTCGGATCCAAACTCCCTACCAAATTTGAGAAAAAAAGAAAACAAATTCTGTTGTTTTTTTTACAAAAAAAAAAAAGGGAAAACTTTTGAAATGCCCCCGAAGTTTGCTTGTATTTGCGGCGTGCCCCTGTGAAGGCCGACTTACCCTGTTATGCCCCTTGGGCCTCTGAAATTTTCCGCAGGCCCCTATCAACATGGGGCGTAACTTTCCAATATGCCCTTATTGGACTGCTGGTGGCGTTTCGTCGGTCCGTCCTTGAAATGCCCTCTCGAGGGGCACACATCTTTTTGTGATGCCCTTGCAGCAGTGGCGGCAGGAATTTGAACTCGAAAATGGTAGGTATTTCATGCGCCGCCACGGAAAAATGGTGCAGCAGTCAGTCTTCAAGTTCACTGCGCCATGGATCGCTGCTCCCTCCTCCTCCACCCATGCTCATCACCCTCCTCCCTCCTCCTCCATCCATGCTCGTCGCTCTCCTCTCTTCTCCTCCAGCCTCCATCCTCTATCCTCGTCCATCGTCGTATGCCTTGTGCTCCCTACTCCTCTTCCCTCCTCTTCCCTTGTTCTCCCTCCTCCAATTTTCTCCTTGTCACCCCTCCCTCTCCTCCTCCTCCTCGATTGTCGACTGCTAACCATCACCATGGCCATCTTCTTGCCGTCATTGCCCGTGCACGCGCGCACGTCTGTATGATGTGTGTGTGTGTGT